AGAGGAATAGTGCAGGGATGGGCTTCAGAGTCAGGCACATTCACAAGAACAGTGGGGCAGGTACTGGAGCTCGTTCGAGACGATGACATATATGAACAGTCTCTGAAACAGAGTCCCTGAAGAAGAAATGTGTTACAAAGCAGACAAAGTTATTGGCGCACATCTAGAAGAGCCTCCGACATATCTGCGGGAACAGGGAGGAACCACTGGAGGAGAGTGTAGACACTTAAACTGGACCGAGTCACACGGACAGCGCTGAAGTATCGCGGCCGAGACGCCGAGCAGAACCTTCACCGGGACAGAGTCAGACAGAGTCACTCGAACAGAGTCGAGTCACGTGAACGGCCGCGTCACTCGATCAGGGCCGAGGCAGACGCACAGGAGGCCATTCCAGCTTCGGGGACAGAGTTCAATCACCATGACGACATATCACATCTGTTTATAGGGACATGGAACATGGAACAGACATGGAACTTCGAGCACCACTCACCGCGGCTGAAATCTTCCATGTTATCTTAGATGTCGCGTCCCCCATATTCCTGAACTTTACTGTAGAGCTCACGCAAGTTGTGTAAAATGTGTTGTATAAACAAAAGAATCGACGCGGGTGTTTGGTGCGCCATGATTAAAGAGATCCCATGACATCCAGAAGAATTCTTGTATGTATGCCGTAGGAAGCTGTTAGACGCTAGCACCTTCTTGCCAGGTACGAGTAAGCGATTACTGCCAAGTGTTTCAAAATAATCTCACCTTCCCTTAGCTCATCTAAGTAAGTGCCAAATCCCCATGTTAGCAGGTTAAGTGAGTTCTCGCTCCGGAAGCAACGCTCCATGTCTGACCCGTCAGAGACGATCGGCTGACAACTGACTTAGGTGGAGGGGTGGGGGGGGGGCTGCCGACGAGGAATGGCCGTGCTCTGGCATTGCATGGCACACAAATCCTCTTCTACCAGTTGGCAGACAGTACGTGTCCGCACACTTTCCGTTGAGCTGCAATTCCTCGGTTGGGTCGTGGGATCAGGGTCTATACGGCGAAATATGCGTTATCTGGCTGAAGATGTCGTCGTCGTCCCTCAAATATTTGATCAAAAATTATGGAACATCGTCATATCCTATCTCCAAGCTAAAGCTAGAAAATGAGAGAAATTGGTAAGATTTAGAGGCTTACACCTATTCGAAAACGGTGCAGACCAGGTTAGCCAGGAAGGCCCTGGCCAACTCCAAGAAAGGGCAGTTCCAAGTCAGAAGAGAGACGAGCGCACTTCTCCTCGGGTCGGATAAGGAACATGACCGGGTAGGTGATTGTTGCGTGGCTTGAATTTTCGTAGAATTTTTGTTCATGTTTATCACACAGCGCATATGTGTTGTGAACTCTATGTGCTTATCACCAAAGCAGTGTCATGACTGATGGGTACACACCAAATGTGTGCTACCCATCGCTAATTGTTGTGAAATAGTCTGGCAGAGAAGTGCAGCAATTCGAACGACTCAATAAATTGTATATTTAGCAAAAAAGGTGAAAACATCGCACGAATAAACATTCATCACGTTTTAGCCCGCGGTTTGAACTCATTAATATAACAGTCGATTAGATAGGCCCCTCGTGGGCTGCGGATCTGGTGCAAGTCGGAAGACTGGGTGTGGTCGGATCTACGTGTGGAAGTGGTGTCTGAAATATTTTCGATACGGGAATTAAACCCTGATCCCTCGATCCCGGACTAGTGCTGACCTACTCAGCTGGTCAGGGTGGCTCCACCGACGTTACATGCTTATTCTCACAATTATTTCCGCTGAAATATGTTGATGAAATACACTGTCTCCGGCGAGCACACTTATATAAGCTTCTTGCCACCACGGAATTAATTCGGTTTTATGAAACGAGTAAATCAAAGGTACATCCATTGTACGTTGCAAAAATAACTATTGCATCCGTAGCCTACGCGTGGTGCAACGTAACCCCCATATCTACTGCA